TTTTGCTGCCGGGCCGGGCCAATCAAAATTTTAAAATTTTATGCACTACTCACTCAGCAATCCTGGCAGTGTTTACATTTTTGCGAGACGAATGGTAAGACTGTTTCCCCAGTAAACGACTATCATTCACTAGGTTTCCTTCAATGCAAAGTCTGGTTCCCTATTAAAGGACCAACATTCACTAGGTTTCCTTCAATGCAAAGTCTGGGTTCCCGATTTTAGTCACACACATTTACATGTATCTCTGATGTCATTTGATTGGCCAGTATTAGAGAGAATATATGTCAATCAATTAATCACAGATAGTCTTTCATGAAATACATATGGCAGTTTTCTTGGTTAATCTCACGAAGTCTAAACCTGCGATCAATATTTTGGGTGCACCTGACTGTTTCGCAATGACTTGAGAAGTAAAAATTTATTGTTTGGCTGGATATATGACATATCTATCTTCTGCTGTCAAGAAAAAATTCTTCCAGCCCAGATTTGGAACTACTAAAACCAGTTATTTTGTACCCTCATTTTTACGCACGAAAGCCTACGTTTACGGCTAATATCCTTCAAAAGAGACTGCGAATATTTGTATTTTTTACAAAGGACACGAGACTGATATTTTAACTATACATTTATGTAAAGATATTTCATTCTTAAAGGTAACACAAGGTGGTATACACTTTAGAAAAGTCCACAACATAGCTCATTACATATGCATGAATCAGATAGCCGTGCATACGTAGCAAATGAAAGGAGCAGTTTTTACGGGTGCTGCGCACTAACTTATCTTCAAAAAATTTCGCTCACGTTATGCGCATCTTCATTAATTTTGCAAACTGTGAGAAGAAAGAAAGAAGAAAATGGAAAATCCTGAAAAGTCCTGGCAAAAGAGTTGTACTGGAAAATTGTGGCAACTTGGGGTAAAGAAGGTGTCGTGGAGCCCTGTTTTCAGTGAAAAAAGTCATGGAAATAATAAAAGAGTTATTTCTGATTGGCAGCGTTTGTGGGATAACGGAATAATAATATACTTACAGGCTATCCTTGTCAATCTATAGTAGTCTATAGTCTAATCTATGATAGTTTTCTACATGTAGTTTATACAACCAAACAACATTTCTCTGCAAAATAGCATTAAATGTCATAGAAATTGTCATTTAGTCCAGCAAAGTCCTGGAAAAGTCCTAGAGTTCGGTTTTCAGATTTCTGTGGCAAATTTGCAAAGTAACAGTGTCCCTATGTGGTGGGAAGTCACCCCATGCTTGTAAATGTTCATGTGTGCTTGATGAGGGATGCACTAAATGAATGTGACACATTTCTCTTGGAATGTACGTGCACCGGCAGGTACTTTGAGCCCAGTCAAAATCTGCCCACTAACCTGTCACATCTTTGCCAGTGAACTGGTAAAGGGGTACATCTAATCAGAGTGGACTACATTTTAGTTTCTCATTTCATCTTCTTTTTCTTGTCAGGAAGGGGAGTAGAGATGGTCCCAGTGCTAGTCGACCCAAACTTGCAGAGGCTGAGCCGGTCTACTCACTGAACGACTAACTGGCCAACATGTATAACTCCCGTACATGCAAAGTGTGCCTGAACCATGTCAAAGTCTTCCGTCCTTGTATATGGTCACATGATCTGTTGTGAGCATAGCTGTCCAGAATGCTTCTATCGTCCTGTCTGTCGCGCGGACATGGCCTAGTAGAGAGAGTCGTCTTTTCCTGAGTTCTGCTTC